CTTTGGACGTTACCCGCACATCGCATTTCCCGAACATGTGGATGTTGTACCCGCCATTGGTTTATTTCATGTCCATGGCCACAAGGATGAATGTGTTGCAAGATACTCGCCCAACTACATCAGAGGCATGGGGAACATCGACGGCGAAGTCTTGGAAACTCTATGGGCAGTTTTGAATGCTATTGCCAATAGCTTTCGCAACATGTCGGCGTCTGGAAGAAAGGATCTGATGAATGCCCAAATGCGATGGTCTAACTTGCGAAAGATGTTAACATGTGGTAGGCAGTCCTTTGTTTGAGCAGGCATATGTTGACATGTCAATCTAGTGGAGTTGACTATCAAGCGGTGGCGCATGGCCTTGAAGCATTTCGCGTCGGCGCAGAGAGAATTTGCGAAGTTTAGCAACGTCTGCCAACCCAAGGATGTGGCGGAGTGGTCCAAGAAAATCGAGGCTGCCTACATGATCCGCGACGGTTCTAAAGAAAAAGACAAGATTTTCAATTTGAAGGTTGGCAAGCTTGCAGGTAGACTGGCAATCAGTGAGACTCTCCAACCACCAGCAAGACACAGTGAAAGTGCCGGTGGTGTTATAGCCTGGCTACTGTTAGGCATTGACATTGAGGAGCTCCAGTGAGTCACATCGTCAGTGGCCTTCCCATCAACTGATGGCGCCTGGTCCAGAATCCGCATACTTAGCCTTCTCCGCATTGCGGGGAAACGGAGCCGGCGCAGCGATACGACAACTCTCCTGCGCGAGCGCCGGCGCCTCAACGAACTCATGATCGACTTTGAGCGAGATGCGCCGAAACACATGAATGCCTTGCTTATCACAAACCCGAAGCACTCAGTTGTGAATCAAATCTATGAGGGCGACCACGAGGACCTCGTACCTGAGGAGGGACCCCATGACCCTTGCCCCACAAATTCAGCCCCTGCAGTGCACAGCGAGGACGACAGTGAATGTGAGGAAGAATCGGACGCCGACGCCGAAGACGCTGAAGAGGATGCTGAGGATGTCGACTCAGATGTGGATGACACCGGCGATGCTTGCGCTGATGACATGGAGCCGGCGCCATCCATCGCAAAGGATGCAAGCCAGGCGTCAGGCGGCGCTGTCAACCGCCGGCGCAAAGGTGCATCGAGCACTCAGCCTGAGCGCCGCACGATTGGGCTACCTTCGGCATTTGGACGCGCCGCATGCATCGAGCAAGGTTTGGTGGGTTTAGTTCACCAAGAGCTCGAACTTCGCAAAGGGCAGGCGCACGACGCCATTGGCAACATTCGTAATCACATTGGACGCAAATCCGTACTGTACAAGGAAGCAGTGCGTCCAGCCAAGCATAGCCAACAGGCAAGCGCCGCTGCCCGGCGCCTTGTGGACTCGCAAACTGCACAGGTCAACCTCCATCGCTTATACTACAGCCGTGCAAGAGCTGCAATGCTTGCATTGGCCGATAATCCTGATGCTGTGAAGGAGTATGAGGTTATGACGGCTGAAGACTTACAGTCTAGTACTGCGGAGTTGAACCCTGCCGCACGTGGGCTACGGCACAAAGGACTCTCGTGGTTTTGGTACCTCGAGATCAAGAAAGCAGTGGGTAGCGATGACGGCCCTCGGCTGATGAAAGAATGTGGGTGACATCCTTGGCGCAACAATATGAAGCTGACGCACCTCACAGTCGCTCGATTGGAATGGACTCACGCCAGGTGCAGATTAGACCGCGCCGAGGAGGAGCTGATTTTCCTCAGACATGAGATGAGCTGGATTCCAGCGGGGTTCGAAGCTGAGGCAGCCAAATGGCGGCAGCGTCAGACCTCCATCACTGAGAATGCATATGTGGGGCACGCCGAGTATGCGCGGCGCCAGGTTGAGATATGGGAGAAGCTGTCGGCGCGCGCATCGGCTGAATTTGGAAAAGAGTTGGTCAAGTCACCGCCACCAGATATCAATCTCGGCCTTGACGTTGAAGGCAACGTAACTTGGGATCAACACACTGGCTTGGGTGTCACTGGTACCAAACTTCTATAGTTGATGCATCAGAAACAGAGAATACACAAAAAGGATGAGCTCGCAAAAAGGATGAACCAGTAAGCAATGCATTGAGACAATGTACAGTACAAGCAATTCGAGGAGAAAACTGAAATGTGGACTGTGGGTTATTAGATTTAGATAAGCTCAGCAGCGTTGACCGGCATTTCACTTGGACACCATCGGTAGGGTCTTCGTATAATGCGCCGGGTCAACATGTGGGACCATTACTGCGCTGGTGATTCATATCCATTGCGCCGAACACATGTGTTGCCAGATTTACAATGCATGTGATGTGCGCCGAAACGCAATGCAGCAAGTGTTTGTTGCTGTGGTGAGTCAATGATAAAAACCTCAGTATGAAGTTCAACCAGGGGATAATCAAACAATGTATGACATTAATCAAGTTCTACTGTAACGAATGCTGTAAGATCACGCAGATGGTAAAGATTCTATGTAAATTCATTGGAGATGCGCCGCCGGCGCTGATTCAGCACCACTGTCGAGGCCGGCGCGGTGTCCTCCTCTCCCCTCCCCATTTCTTCTCCCACTCAGGGAGGATGGTGATCTTCTCAAACGCCGTTGCGATGTCGGCGAGGGAGGTTTCGGCGCGAACCCGGTTCATCATCGAACCAACTGACATGGTCTCGCTTAGCGGATACACGAAATCCGGCATGGTATACAGGGTGGACTCACAGGTGGAGCCGGCAGGGACTATTTTCCAGAGGGTCGCCATGTAGATGTCGATATCACCGGGTTCTGCTTGGTCAACATTGGTAGGAAAGGGAAGTATCAAATCACTCACCCAAGCTCCAATCCATGCCACTCCGAGGCATGCGCCATGCGACGGCGGCTTCAACGCTAGGATCCACGTCGACGGCGTGTCCAGCCTCCTCGTTCAGCTTGCGGATGTTGCAATGGCCCTTCGCCCGCGCGCAAGGTGTGCACGACAACCGCCCGACTCGCCGGCATCGGATGCCAGCCTTTGTGCACGGGGTGCACGGGACGACCGGATCCCTCAGCAGTTCCTCGGGGCCGATCTCGGCGAGTGACTTGTTGCGCTTGCGAGGCTGCAACAGCAAGTGTTAGTGCGGCGCCGTCTGTTGACGCCAACCACTCACCTCGGTGATTGTGTCCTCGCCGGGTTGGAGAGCGTCGGCGCCTGGGTCGGCTGGTCGCTTGCGCTGATCTTGCTTCGTGCGTGCCCGTTTCTTGCCCTTCGAGGCTGGCGGCCCGTCGTTCGCGTCTGCGCCGGCGCCGGCGCCGTCGTCTTCCTCTTCGTCGCTGTCTTCACGTCGGCGCCGCTTCCTGGATTTCACCTGCCGGGCGTCACTGTAGGATATCGGACGCCGTCAAACACAAACTCACGAGCGCCGCCAAGGTAGGGACGAGGACGCACGCCATGACTGCCCGGCCGGCATTTCCAGACGACGAGGCAGAGCTCAAAGGCTCTGAGGGCGCTGCAACCATTGGGAGGTGGCGGTAGTCGAACCCGCTCCCCTCTGCGAGTGCGCGCGCTGGGCAAAGTCAGAATGAAACTGACTGAGACAAGGATAGACGAGACTTACCAGGCGCGCCGGCACCTCTTGACCCCCTTGTCCACCACTGATTATCGCCGAGCGACGCATCGGCAATGAAGTGCTTGGAGCGCCATTGCGTGCGCGCCGCGATCCACTCCTGGTTGTGGATATCGTCGAGGACCTTCTTGATGTCGCCGCCGGCGACTGCGACCGCAATCGCGTTCGGCCCTGGCACAGTCTGGCCAGGAAAGTGGCGCCGGGCGTATTCGTAGATGGCGCGATTACATAACTGGAGCACGTGTAGGCGGTAAGTATGGAAAGAGGTATGATGACTTACCACCTCGGTTCTGAAGCACTTGCACGCCTGGGTTACGGAATACTCGCCTCGCACCCAGACCCCTAGACCCCGCTCCATCCGCTGCTCCGCCAAATCCATCAGTTGCTGCATCTGGTCGCCTGTGGCGGGGAGGTTGTCGTTGAAGAGATGCTTCACCCACGTGGGCATGTTGGGGGCGGGTTCGTGCGCGTTGCTGCTGCTGGTGGACATGGTCGTCGTCGTCGAGAGCGAGGAGGGACGTTGGTGGGCGGAGGCTGCAACATATTAAAGTCTTTTTTGTTTATGTTTATGTACGTGTTTGAGCAGCTCACACGCCATCGCCGACGCGACGCGTTTATTAAAAACACGTGGCGTCGCGTCCAATATGCGCCGCATAAATAAATTGCCTTATAAATAGACAAGCACCAATCCTCTCTGAAACCACAACACTCGTTCCATATTTACTTGATGTTACCCTTCGATATGATGCAGGCTGTAGCTGAGCACACAGTGGCTCTTTATTCTGTCTCGCGCCGGCATGGTGTTTTCCGTCAACCCGCCGGCGTCAGTTCGCAAATCCTCGATGAGGCGAGCCGAGCAGCCGAAATAGTCGCTCAAGCTAAACAAAACAAAGGTAGTCTACAGTTGACTCCCAAGTGTCTTACTGAAAATTACAAACACAAGTGAGAGTCCATGACTCTGTTTCACGACACCTGCAGTACTTCAACATCCAGGACCGGGGGCGGAATCTTAAAGACGAACATGACCTCGAGGATGTTGTGCCGGCGCTATCATTTAACTCTCACCGAGGGCCATTCAGCGACTTGACGCCAGATCCCAACACAGGGCGCCTATTCGCGCGCCGACCCTTCCACCTTGTCACAGGCGCCGGTGAACCCATCATGTGGTATCTGCCGGACACAGTGCCGGCGGAAACGCAGACATCTGTATTCCGAGACTTGGCGCCAATTGCTCCGGCGCTCAGGAACAGCATCGTGCAGGGTAGTCTTGATGATTGGCGGTGCTCCAGTTACCTATTCAAGGAGGACACCGGCGGCCTTCGGGCAGCTCCTGGTTGCATCAATGTATCGCCCGCATGGTTTGCACAAGGTCACAATGTAGGTGAATCGCTTATGCCACCATTGCGACTTATCAACCCTTTTGACAGGGTACCAACGGGCCGCCGAAGGCTTCGCAAAACCTTCGCGAAGGGCCATCGCAAGCAGCGTTACGCGAATGGGTGTCGGCGTCGGCGCACCCAATGGCGATTCCCTCAGCAATACTGGCAATAATTCATCCTGACCAATATAGGCAAGGACTGCGATGCATGCGCCGACTGCGCCGCCGCACAATCCTTGAACCATTTGTCGACAGTTGGGCGTCGGCGTTCAATGCCATGACTGTCATCTCAAATCGCGAGACGTTATATCACCGTGACGGCGGCGGTTACTTTCAATGGTATGATATACTCGGAACCTATGGGCAGTATTCGCGAGGACTGCTGTCATTCCCCGCCCTAGGAATTGACCTTGACTACCGTCCGGGAACCATTGTTGCATTTGCTGGCAATGTGCTCCGCCATGGAGTGCCCCACCCCGATGGTGAACGGGTTTGCTTGGCGCATTATATGCGAAAGAACCTACATGAGTATGTTCATACAGGGCATGCTCAGTGGGGTGTTTGTTTGTAAAGCATGCACCGGCGCCGAAGGTGGTCAACGCAACTGAGCTTATCTAAATCTAATAATCACCATACAATTTCTTGTATGATACCTTATCTCAATGCATTGCATACTGATGCATCCTTTTTGCGTATTCGCTACTTCCAAAGCACGAACTATCAAAGTTTGGCAGCCGACATAGTGGGTGCCGACAATGGAGCTGCCTACTGGCTGGCGGTGTCAGGTGTGCCCCTCATCGGCACATTGAAGACATACATTGGACAGCTGGCGATGGATGTCGGCGCGTATCACCAGTACTAATCGTCCATAAAGGTCGAGAACTACCACACTCCTCGCGGGAGCCTCGATGGTCTGCGCCGGATGACACTAATCTACGGCGCGACAAACATCCCTTGGTTGGCTCCAATCACATGCATTGCGAATGTGCATGAATTGGGAGCGCCGTGACAGTACCACACCATCTGCTCGGTCCCGGCGCAATATATGTGACCCCCATGCTGCCGCAATGAAATGCCGGTCAACGCTGCTGAGCTTATCTAAATCTAATAAATGCCTGAAAACCACAGTCCACATTTCAGTTTTCTTGTGGATGTTCTTGCACTGTACCTTATCTCAATGCATTACATACTGATCCATGCTACAATTACATCCTGTGATGGATTATGCATTGCCCACTGATCCCGGGGTATGGATCCCGCCCAACCTGTACGAATGAAATGGTGCCCGCCGAGAGTCAATGTAAGGTACCTATCCACGACTGTGACCGGCGCAGGTCATTGGGCTTGACCTGCGTCACGTGGTCGCCGCCGCTCCCAATCCAAAGTACGCCCTGGACCTCGGCGAGGGTATTCGGCGCCGCTCACGTGATAATCCTGTCGCCCAAATTATCATTCGCCGAGGTGAACAGCCACCATGATGTCCAGCTGGGCATTTACCAGGTGAATGGTGCGGGAAATCCCAAAAGCACCTGCACAACCCTTCGGCGCTGGGTGCGTGATTCATGGGATGTGAACGCCGTGAACAATTTGAAAGGTTTGAGCGCCGGCGGCGCAGCCCCCATGCCTGGACGGCGCAAGCTTGGGGATTCATCCCAGTGTTTGCTTTGAATCACGTGTTGGACGCCGGACATCAATTGGTGTATCTACGACCGGCGCTCATCATTTGCGATAAGTGTGTCTCCCATCGGCGCGTGGATGTGATGTACCTGGTAACGGATGAATTGCACTCGGCGCT